CAAGAGTGCACACGCTGAAATGTCTCGCCTGCTTTACTGACCATTGATTTTATGTTGATAGTCCTAAAAATAAAGCTTTACTACAAGTATCACATGAACTTAACATGATCCAAGAAAATGAAGTCAAGGTCAGATAAACCAAACTGGAAATACATGTTCACCTAACAATCATTCCATACACCAAATATAGTTGACCTATTGCTTATCGTTTCTTAGAAACGAACTTAACCAGGAAACCTTAACATTGACCAATGAAACATGAAAAAAAGGTCAAGGTCAGGTGAACCATGCCAGACAGACATGTACACCTTACAATCAATCCATCCATTACATATAGTTGACTTACTGCTCATAGTATCTAAGAAATAAACTTAAACATGAAAACTTAACATTGACCAATAAACCATGAAAATGAGGTCAAGGTCAGATGATACCTGCCAGACAGACATATACACCTTACAATCATTCCATACACCAAATATTGTTGACCTATTGCTTATAGTTTAAGAAAAACAGACCAAAACATAAAAATCTAACACTGAGCAATGAACCGTGAAACTGAGGTCAAGTTAAAAAAAAACTGTCAGACTGACATGTACGTCGTAAAATATTTCCATACACCAAATATAGTTGACCTATTGCATATATTATTAGAAAAAAAAGACCAAAACACAAAAACTTAACTTTAACCACTGAACCATGACAATGGTCAGATGACACCTGCCAGTTGGTCATGTACACCTTACCATCATTCCATACACCAGATATAGTAGACCTATTGCTTATTGTATCTGAAATATGGACTTGTCCATTGTCGTGCCTGTCAAACAGTTTTCATCTGACCTCGACCTCATTTCATGGATCAGTGAACAAGGTTAAGTTTTCTATTGTAAGGAAATGTGTAAGGAAATGCTAACGTTCGGAAGAAAGGTCAAAGTTTTTCAAACATCAATAACTTTATCAATTCTTCTTGGTATTTTATGGAAGTTTGTCACAAGCTTTTTTATGACCAAAAGTCACTATCCAGAGCATAATGAAAATACATGTATATTCTTATTTTGTTCCTATTTTACTGATAAAAGGACTTTGTTGTTTTGTAAATACAGTCTGAGATTAAAGTTTGTTACACATCAATTACTTTGTTAAACCTTCATAAAATTTTATGAAAATTTAAAAGAACCTTTTTGATGTGGACAAGATAATGTCCGAATTCGAAGCAAAATTTTGAAAGTATTTTTTTTTTTTTTCATTTTTCAGAACTTTACTGTTTTTTGTCGAGCCTGCAACTTTTGTTGCAGAAAGCTAGACATAGTCATTTGGCGGCAGTGGCAACGGCGGCGTTAAGTAACTACTTTAAAGCTTTATATTTTAGAAGGTGGAAGTACTTGATGCTTCATACTTTGTATATAGATGCCGTATGTTATGAAGTTTCCGTCTGTCATATGTCCATTGTCCTTGACCTCATTTTCATGGTTCAGTGACTACTTGAAAAAAAAGGTTAAGATTTTTTGAAATGTTAATTTCTCTCTTATTATGAGTAATAGGATAACTATATTTAGTATGTGCGTACCTTGCAAGGTCCTCGTGCCTGTCAAACCTTTTTTCCGAACGTTAGCATTTCCTTACAAAACTTTTAACATAGGTTAAAAATTGGCATGTAGAAAAATGATACATGTGCAATTCAGGATATTTCTGGTTTCTATGAAGTTAAACTTAAGGAAAAATATTTAGAAAGCTGTGAAATTTGCATAATTTGGTTGAATAGATAGATTTTGAATTAGTTTTCTGACACCTAAAATTTCATGAAGGTTTGACAGTTATTGATGTTTTAAAACATTGCAAAACAGACTGTACCGAAATGTTGACAACGCCAACGCTGAGAGAATCTAGGATCGATAAGTCTGGTTTTCGCAACATAAATGTTGCAGCCTCAACTAAAATGCAAACCACATAATGTATCTCAACAGATAAGAATTGGTTTGAACAATAGGAAACTGAGTAAAATTCGCAGTAGATTCAGACTGCCAGAAAATAAACAAATATATAGTATGATGCAATTTGATTAAAAAGTAAATTTCGTCACTTTATCTTAACTACAATCCATTGAAGAAAGAATTACAAGACTCATGTGCTTGAACCATTTCTTTTAATGTATCTAGATTAAACTATTGATTAGATATAGGAAGATGTAGTATGAGTGCCAATGAGACAACTCTCCATCCAAGTCACAATTTATAAAAGTAAACCGTTATAGGTCAAGGTACGGTCTTCAACACTGAGCCCTGGCTCACACCGAACAACAAGCTATAAAGGGCCCCAAAAAATTACTAGTGTAAAACCATTCAAACGGGGAAAACAAAAGGTCTAATCGATATAAAAAAAACGAGAAACTAGAAACACTTATGAACCACATCAACAAACAACAACTACTGAACATCAGATTATTGAGTTCTCCTAAATTCATGTGCAAGCCTGGGCGTTTTGATGTAAACGTAGCTACGCACCTGCATTATATTGTATGTTTGATTTAAATGTATATGAATGTATAAATGTTCTGTTATACAGGATGAATCTTGAATCTAGATAGGTTAATACTACATATCTAGCATATTTATTGATTTGAACTTGGCTGCAACACTTGTTGCTAAGTAGCCATTTTCTAAAGGGTTATTGTATTGAGAAATAAAATGACAAATTAAATCAAATTTGGTGGTTTGACAAAAAATGACCATATTGCACATTATCCATTCAGAAAGTTTGGTCAAGTTGAACTTTAACTATCATTTGAAAAGAAAAAAGAGGCAAATGAACAGGTGACAGAAGGACATATATTTGCTTTACTATATTCCTCCTTCTAATCAAAACAAATTACATCCTAAAACCTTCGACTGAAGACAAAATACAATAAGGGGGGAAAAGTTTGATAATCTTTAACTTACATCATTGAACATGATTTAAATAAACTGTTCACACAGATAGATATCTCAACTCTTTGTATTTTGAAAGTAAAATGCAAATGTGGAAATGAAAATAGCAATAATTTTACATGTAAAATATGCAAAATATGAACTATGAATGAAGTTACAGGGCCAAATGATTTTCTTTTAAACCTTGACATAAGATATGACAATGCTAATACAACTGTGCACCAAATATAAATGACTTATCATGAGTGATTCCCCTTAAACAGATCTAATTTGACTCTGTCAAGTCGACACCATATAATCATGAAAATATTCCCTCCTGTAACATTTGTAAATTTGATCTTTAACATCATGAACATATATATATTAAAGAGGTTAATTCTTCGATAATAAAAATTAAAATACTTTAAAATGGATTATTTATAAAGCTGTATTTAACAGAAATGTGTTTATCTCAACATGCTCAAACTTAGAAAAATAATAAATAAAATGCTTCGCTGAGCGCAGCCTGATACGACCACAGAGGTCAAACCCTGAACAGTTGGGGCAAGTTTGGACACAATATTCAAGCTAGATACTGTCTAGAATTTAGATTGTGATCAAATTTTGACATAATATAGGTTTCTGACACAAAATAAATGTGGTCAAAGATCTTAAAAAATTTGAAATGGGACATTTAATTTACCTTAAATGGTCTGATATCCAAAATCTAGCAACATGGTTAGATTCAGCATATAAAATAAACACCAAAAATTTTATTTTAGTTGAAATCAAACAATGTTTAATTTTGAACCATTCAAACCTTAATATGGACTAATTTGAAAACAGGGCCCAAAATAAAAAATCTAAATGCACAATATGAGTCAGCATATCATACAGCCGCAATAATTCAGTTTTTGATGAAATCAAACGAAGTTTTTATTTTATACCCTTTTGACCTCAATGTAGACCAATTTAAAAAACTGGCCAAATATCCATAATATTATTACAAGGTAAGAATCCCAAAAAAATAAAGACTTTAAATTAATCCCAATGAAATTGGTTAAAAGATTTGTATTTATTTTCAATTGAAGATTTCTTGCTATTGTGCAATACTGTGCAATTGAAGATTTCTTGCTATTGCGCAACACTGTGCAGTTGAAGATTTATTGCTATTGCGTAATACTGTGAAATTGAAGATTTCTTGCTATTGCCCAATACTGTGCTACCGCGCAATACTATGCAATTGAAGATTTCTTGCTAGTGCCCAATACTGTGCTATTGCGCAATACTGTGCAATTGAAGGTTTCTTGCTATTGTGCAATACTGTGATATTGTGCAATACTGTGCTATTGTGCAATACTGTGCTATTGTGCAATACTGTGCTATTGGGTAATACTGTGCACTTGATAATTTCTTGCTATTGCGCAATACTGTGCAATTGAAGATTTCTTGCTATTGCACAATTATGTGCAATTGAAGATTTCTTCTTGAAACTTTTCAAAAAATATGATCCCACAAAAAAAATTTTAAAAAAATTTCCCCCCCCCTAAACTTTTTGAACCCCCCTTAGAGTAATTACCCCCAAACTCAATCTCAGCCTTTGTGGTATGGAACCTTGTAGTACAATTTTAGAGAGATCCATACACTAAAACACAAGTTATTGTCTGGAAACTAGTAAAATGTTTTTTTTTTGGCCCCTAATTCCTGCATGTTTAGGGCAATTACCCCAAACTCAATCCAAGCCTTCCCTTTGTGATATGGGACCTTGTGGTACAATTTCAGAGAGATCCATACACTTACACACAAATTATAGTCCGGAAACTACAAAAATGCTTGTTTTTGGCCCCTAATTCCTAAACTGTTGGTACCATAATCCCCAAAATCAATGCCAACCTTCCTTCTGTAGTATTGAATCTTCTGGTAAAATTTCATAGAGATCCATTCGCTTAAACTAAAGTTATTGTCTGGAACCCAAATGTGTCTTCGGACGACGCTGACGCAGACGACGACGACATCATAGCAATATACGAATGCAAAAACATTTTTGCGGTCGTATAACAATAAAAATGTATCAAACATCATATCAATACTTACCTTGTGCATTTTTGTCATCAGCCTCATTAAGTTTTGTCACAACAAGATAAATTGCATCTTGGGACAGAAATGTTTGGTGTGTGTGGTAAAATTCTTCATCGCCAGCAAAATCCCATAATAACAAGTTGGCATATTCCTCTTTGTCATGTAAATCAACTGTAAATTTTTCCATCATGGATTTGATATCTTTATGAGCTTTTTCTAATGACAGGTTTTGCTGTTGTTCATGATAAATATTGGCTACTTGAGATGCTTGGGGTTCAACTTGAGTGACTACTGGAGGTTTTATTTTTTCAGGCTGCTCAGATAAAGTTTTTGATTCCTTTGATTCATCAACACGTCTGTACAAAATGGTAATGAGGGTGTTGTCTTTGACAGTTTTATGAGCTCCCTCTGAATAGTTAAATTTAGTGTCTTCTGAGATTTTTTCTTTATATTCAGTGGCTACTGGGTGTATAATTTGAGTGTCTACTGGAGGTTTAAGTTTTTTAGTCTGAAATACTGTTCTTGGTTCCTTTGATTTAACAAAACCTGTTGGTGAAGTGGTGTCCGTAAACGTCTTTTGGGCTGCTTCTTCAATGATGGCTGAGCTGTCCTCACTGGCTAGTTTTTCTTCGTATGGTTTTAATAATCTTGCATGAAGTTCAGTTTCTTCATAGTTGCCTATAATTAAATAAAAATGAAACTACTGTGTGTTTCCCTTAAAATGTGATCAAAAAGATTTGTAATAAATTATTGGATAAAAAATGTAGAGGAATAATGTGTGTGAGGACACAAATGGCCCTGCTCATGCTTTGGAATTTTCCAAGTCAAAAAGGAGCATAACTCTAAGACTAAATGACTCATTGCCCTGATTCGATCTTTGTTTGCGTGTTGTGGAATTTAGCATGAGTTTCCTCAAATTTGCATAAGGCAAACTTAATTTAAAGTGTGGAAACAAAAGTTGAAGAGTGGAAACGAAAGGTAGAACTGTGAAAAGGAAAAAAAATGCAATTTTCCAATTTCTAAAGGGGCATAACTCTAGAACGGTAAATGACTCACTGCCCAAAAGCGAGTTTTTAGTTCTTAGCATTGTGAATGTGTTTCATAAAATTTATAATAGGCAAACTAAATAAAAACTTTGTTTTCCTCTTATAGTTTATGTGTTTCCCTCAGTTTTGGTTTGTAACCCGGATTTGTTTTTCCTCAATCGATTTATGACTTTTGAACACCGGTATACTACTGTTGCCTTTATTTAAGTTAGAGTGCGGAAACGAAAAAACAAATCAATTTTCCAAGTAATAAAGGGCATAACTCTAGATTGGTAAGTGACTCACTACCCCAATTCAAACTATGTGTGCAAGTTTCAGGGGCGGATCCAGGATTTTGGAAAAGGGGGGCGTAGTATTAAAGGTTTTTTTTTTACCTTTTTTTTTTTTTATCTTTTTTGGCTAAAAAAACATAAAATAAGTGTAAAATGCATTTTATAGTTAAAGTGTAGGAGTTGTACATTTTTGGTACCGTATTCTATCCAATAATTTTCTATTATAAAATGATTGGGTGGATCCAAAGCTATGTACTAATTAATATATTTGATGTGGGATTTGTCGGTAAAAAATGGACATGGAAAATTCTCGTTTGTTGTATGGTTAGTTAGCATAACCTCACAGATTTCTTGTTGTAAACAAGATATACGGCTATTCAATGAAATTTACAATACGACCGACACGAAGAAAGACAAACAAGCAATTTTTATCCAAATGTTTGGTTGAACAACAAGGGAAGTGAGGGGTTCCAAATCAACCAAAGGCTACGAATGAGTCGGAAATGACAATGAAGTTGTGAATGACGGTCGATACATGGAGACATATAGGCCACACCCAGCAGGCAGGTTGCAGTCGGGCCTTGAAAAAAGTATTCAGTATATCAGTTCGGCGAAACAGACATCCCGGTCAGATATGGGATTCACATGCAACCCCCCCACCCCCCCCCCCCCCCCCCCCCAAAAAAAAAAAAAATCACGCCAGTTTTTTATTCATCATGTTCATTTAATGCTAAATAATTCTGTTGAAAATATTTTTTTCTAATAGCAAAAAAGTGGAAAAGATTATTGTTTTCAATCCAGATACGGCCAGAATTTTTGTTTAAGGCAAAAATCAGGGTCAGAATTTTTTCTCTAAAATATCTCAGACTGCCCCCTCAAATCAAATGGTCCGTACCTTAGACTTTAAATCTATATCTAGAGCTTACTGACTGGGGATCACTATTCAGCAATGTTATTAATGGGCTTGGGCGTGTGGGTTTAAACATGTTTTCGTAGGTAAATGATAATATTGCTGTGGAACTTTTTGTTTCATGAGAGTGTAATAGAGTATTACTTTCTGTTGGGTGGAATTGTGAAATAGAAGTCAATACGTTCATGCTCAATACTTTGTCGCTTTGAAGGCGTCATGCTTGTCATCCTCAGCCTAAGCAATGTGTTACTGTAATTTGAATTTCAAAATGACCGAGTGACGTTTTTTTTCTATGTACTGGTCAACTCCACCGTAGCGAAACATGACTTTGACATAATCAATAATATATTACAGTGAATACGAGCGAAAAATATCTTTATAAGTAAAGAATTGTCCCATAAAAATTAAATACACGGAAATGGCAAAGTTCACGAAATCTAGTCTGATAAATCATTTTACAAAAAAAAAGTGCAAGCAAAAGGGGGGGGGGGGCGTACGCCCTCTACGCCCCCCTCTGGATCCGCCACTGAGTTTTGGTTTTTACCATTATATATGAGTTCCATAAAATTTTGAATAGAAAAACTTACGTCAGAGTGCAAAACTCTTAATGCGCCATTTGCCTAGTAGCAGGGGCATGTAAAAAGCATTTAACAGCTCCACAATACATTTATTCATTCAGTTTAATTCAATCAATAATTCTACAAAAACACTCTGCAAATCTATCAGAATCAGAAAGGTTGTATCAATATTCGTTTGTAGGATTGAAAAGTTTTGATAGAATAAGATAAAAGGAGCAAACTTTAGTGTATGATTGACACACCCAAAACAAGTAAGTCTGTTGTTGTGGATGTCATTTGTTGATGTGGTTTACAGATGGTTCTTTTTTTTTATAAAGATTAGACCGTTGGTTTTCCTGTTAGAATTGTTTTACACTTGTCATTTTGTGGCCCTTTATAGCTTGCTGCTCGGTGTGAGTCAAGGATCCGTGTTGAAGGACGTACTTTTACCTATAATTGTTAGCTCTTTATACATTGTGACTTGGATGGAGAGTTGTCTCATTGTCACTCGTACCGCATCTTCTTATTTACAATGATTGTAACAGAATGATTATTCATGTCTTTAAAAAAAAGTCACGTGCCTAATGTTACCTAGGGCCACATCCTATCTAATGCAGTTCTTCTTGATATGAACAGGAAAATATATGATTTAGGGTGGAGGATCTCAACTTTTTAGAAGATATTTAAACATTTACATATGTACAGGTCGGGATGACTACTGATGACTTATCAAATCTATCATTCAATGCATCTTGATGTGTCAAACAGGAAAACATATGGTTCAGGGGAAGGGATATCAACCATATACAAGATTTTTGAACTTCTTGAACAGCAAGTGTTAGACATTACCCCTGGGGATCCCTTCTATATTTCATTTGATATGTCTTGTCACAATGAAAAGAATGTTCTATCTCTTTTTGTGATATTTTAAAATAATGTTCCAAGTCAAAGGTCAAGTTTTCAAGTAACAACCATTTAAACACGAAAATAAAAGTTTCCTAATAGGGTTCTATTGTAAAACCCTAACCTTCTTTTTGACCTCTCGAAGAATCTCTAATTAAAATAGACCACCAGGCAAAAATTAAAGCACCAAATTCACAACCAGACATGTAAGTCTAACATTCTCTAGAACCTAAAGTACATCTGACTTCCAAGTTAAAGTGAAAAATAGAGGTTCTCAAGAGCCTGTGTCACTCACCTATATTTACTGATGCTTTGGAAATCATGTAAAATAAGGTTAAAATCATAATTAATAGTATAAGATATTAGATATTATAACAATATCTAAGCTAATAACAAAAAACTGCAAATTTCCGTAAAATTACTAACTCAGTGGCAGCAACCCAACAACGGGTTGTCAGATTCGTCTGAAAATTTCAGGGCTGATAAATCTAAATCTGATGAACATTTTTCCCACCTGCCAGATTTGCTCTAAATGCTTTAGTTTCAGATATATAAACCAAAAACTGCATTTTACCCCTATGTTCTATTTTCAACCATGTCGGCCATGATGGTTGAAAGGCAGGGTCATCGGACACATTTTTTAAACTAGCTACCCTAATAATGATTATGACCAAGTATGGTTAAATTTGTCTCAGTAGTTTCAGAGAAGAAGATTTTTGTAAAAGATTACAAAAATTTACGAAAGATTGTTAAAAATTGACTATAAAGGGCAATAACTCCTAAAGGGGTCGACTGACAATTTTGGTCATGTCGACTTATTTGTAGATCTTACTTTGCTGAACATTATTGCTGTTTACAGTTTATCTCTATCTATAATAATATTCAAGATAATAACCAAAAACTGCAAAATTTCCTTAAAATTACCAATTCAGGGGCAGTAACCCAACAATGGGTTGTCGGATTCGTCTAAAAATTTAAGAACAGATAGATCTCAACCTGATGAACATTTTTACCTATTGTCAGATTTGCTCTAAATGCTTTAGTTTCAAAGATATAAGCCAAAAACTGCATTTTACCCCTATGTTCTATTTTTAGCCATGTCTGCCATGTTGGTATGCAGGCGGGGTCATCGGACACATTTCTTAAACTAGTTACCCTAGTGATGATTATGGCCAAGTTTGGTTAAATTTAGGCCATTAGTTTCAGAGAACTAGGTTTTTGTAAAAGTTAACAGGCGACGACGACGACGGACGATGGACGCCAAGTGATGAGAAAAGCTCACTTGACCTTTCAGGTCAGGTGAGCTAAAAATGGAAAAAGGTTGAAAAAGAAGAAGATTTTAAAAACCTCCCTTCCCCCGATCTGTGGTATTTGGTTAAGCAACTGGAAACGACTTGCATACATTTCATCCATTTTAACATATTTAAGCAACTTGACCATAGTCACATGTCCTTTTAATTAATAGGGACCTTTTCTCTTTATATGACATAATAATGAGACCATAAATCCAAGTAAGATTCCAATCAAATTTACAGAAGTTGATTTAGAATCTTGAAACTAGTTTTCTGCACAATTTGTCGTCTGTTTGACTTTTACCTTGCTCTTAAGACAGTATGAAATCAAAATCTATATGACAATTTATCCAAATAAGGTTGCAAATCAATATGTTGCTTTTAATTTAGTATCAATTAACTAATATGTGAACATAAAATTTGTAAGGGTTCTGCGGAACCCAGTGTCTCGCCTACTTTTGTTGTTAGTCGCAGGCTAACAAAAATGGGGAAAAAATTATTAAAAATTTTCCTCTAGATACTATCTTTTGATTGCAAGAAGTTCTGTTCATGTTTGGTAAAAATCCAAGAAGGTTTATGAATCTAATAAATGTTTTAAAAACTTTAACTGCAGACTGTACGTAATGTTAACTGGAATAAAACTAAGTCCATTTATAAGTAATATATGGAAAAACAGGAAATAAATTTTTACAAAATTT